CGTCTACGTTGGAGATGTCAGTTCTGTAAATGGAACACTTTCCTCTCTCGGCACTGGTAGGTAGAAATTCCACCTGGGTCTGCAGTTGCTCTCTTAACCTAACATTGCAGTGCATCTGGAAGGAATCGAGCAAACCCTTAAAATGCAGTCTAATTCTGTAGCTGGGTTTCAGTGAGCGTTCTTTTTAAGAGCGACAGGAAACAGACTTCAAAAGTAAAGGGAAAAGGCTTGCCAGATTCGGTACTCTCTGAAACACTACGTTTTTTGAGCAAGATCTCAATTAAAAAAAATAATATTAATAATTTGGTCACTCAATCCACGACTGTTTGTGGGGTACTGCTGCGTGCAATTGGCTGCCACGTTTCACCCACAAAATATAGTCAATTCATTTACAGTATATTCTGTGAAGCACTTTGATACATCTCAATGGCCCGATGAGGTGCTTCATCAAAATGCAAGGACTATTATTAATCTGGAACCCAGTCTCTAACACTAGTGGGGCCCATTTTATCCCCCAGTGTTAGAGAGTGTTATCGACTGAGCAAGGCTGGCACCCAATTTATAGAGTTGGCTATCACTCGGGAACTTTGACATTTGACGGTAATTACTGTGGAGCACTTGGGAGACATTAACATAAGAGACTCTATAAAGATGCAGTTGGCCCACAGGAAGTGATCTGAGCAACTGCGAACGCAATCCCCGCAGATCTTCTCTTTGAAGAGCCCAGGCCGAACCATCAGTGTTTACAAAGTAAAGCTTGTGAAAGGTTGCAAATTTTCTACTACAGTATTTCACGATATCACGGGAAACCCTCTCTATCATGGGGGTGAGGCAGAACGGAAGGCGATCACTGCTGTCATAGGAGCACATACGACTGCCTGGGGAAATGTAACCAGCGACGACGTTAGCCCAATTTTCTGCTTTCTACGCGTCAACCACCATTCCACCCAAATCAAAAATAAAAATTTGGGCCACGACTCTTTGTGGGGACACTGTTGTGCCCAATCGTGGCAGCCAATTTGCCCACGAAATATACAGTCGATTCACTTTACAATATATTTGGTGAAGCGCTTCGAGACATCTCAATGATGTGGTAAGGCGATATATGAAACGTAAGGATTATTATTATTATTATTATTACCACAAACATGTGAGATACAAATATACGTGCAATGTGCATCGATGGACAGGGCGGTCTTGCACATCCGGGGGTCTTTTTGGAAACGTCCCTTATTGTAAAGCCCAGTCGTGCTGTAAGTGTTACACTGACAGTGGTCACGGACTGGTCTTTGCAGGAAAGCAGGCAAACTGGATATAAATTGAACTGGAGATGGATCTGCTTGATGACGGTGCTGGGGGATAGAGAGAGGGATAGACAGGCACAGAGAAATCCTCTGCAGCACGTAATATTTTAGCTGCTTGCTGTGGCTAAATGGGGAGGGATGTCTGAGGGCAGTGAAAGAGTATTAAGAGTAGAGATGGAAGGGTGGATCAATATTCTGGACCTTTTACTTGATCATCCTTTGGGATTCTGCCAGTAACTCTACAACGCTCTTGTCCGTAAGGGGAGTGCTGATCAGCGCCTGAGAGTCTGGAGCTCAATTGAAAATACAATACGTTGCAGTCCAAGTATTCAATAGCTACCGACTTGAATGGGTTTGAATGTTACTGTGCAGCACTTCCTCTTTCTGAAAGGTTATGTAAACAACATATTGCTTACTTATTCAACTGAAGAGGCTGCTGTTTGCCAAACATGTTGCCAAATAAGGACTTTATTTCCTTCATTTCCTCCCTCCCCGCTATCTCCAAATGCCATGAGAAGCGAAACCCAATGTCCAGCTCTGCCAACCGCTGTCCACCCAGGCACACACCCAACAAGGTCCCAAGGCAGCGATCGGGAGCAGGGACCTGGTTTCCCATCCCACCATCGCAGAGGCAAATTGTAATGCCCCTCAGCCACCCTCGCTGAGATCGCTGACTCAACAGAGAGCAGGGAGTGAAGCAAAGTAGATAATAAGACCTGCTTCACAGAATATATTGTAAATTGAATTGACTGTATATTTTGGGGGTGAAACGCGGCAGCCAGTTATTTCAGCGTCCCTCAAACAATGGTGGATTGAGTGACCAATTTTTTTTGATGGATTACTACTGCCGGAAATCGAAAATAATCCTCCAAAAAAAAATCACATTGACAACTGGGTTCCTACCTACTGCTCGGTAAACAGAGGCACGTGGAGTAAGGAAACTTGCCTAAGGTTTTGACCTGCCCGGAACGTAACCCAAGTCCTCTCGCTTGCGGGTCAAGTGCTCTAACTAATACCCTATTGGACTCCATGTGGACTCTACAGATCCCAGCCTCCATGTTTCAGCAGCTCAGCGGATTTATTTGCTGAGCTCCACCACTGGTTTTAATGTTTAAGCAAACGTACATGAAGTGGGTCAACCTACTTCACCTACAGATGGCACACACTGACAGCTCAACTGCACGTGAACAGACAAGAGTGGTAAACCTTCACACCAAGGGCACACGTATGTGCTTCCGAGGGAGAAACTATCAACAGAAAGTTAAGAATCTTATGATTTCTAACCAAAAGCAATCATTAATGGGTAATTATATTACAATTAACCCATGCCAAGTTAACACCAACTGAAACACTGAGATGTCTGCAAGAATGTCGCGATGAGCCGAATGTGGCTTCTTACCAAAACTTGTCCTGCCCGAGTACTGTACTGGGCAATACACACACACACACACAAGCACATACACAAGCACACACAAACATACACGTCTTGCATTTCTATAGCACCCTTCACACACCTCATGCATTCAGCAGGCGCGCTTTCAGCCACTACGCCCCGGAAACTCTGGAGCACTCCCTTCAATCCCTCCGCCTTGCCCCCTTCTTCCCCATCTTCGGGTCGCGCCTGAAGACCATCCTCTCGACCGCGCTCGGGGTTATGCTCAGCCACAGCCGAGCCCTCTGTGAGGCTACCCGGCCCGATGGGCACTGTATAACTGCAAGTTGTTGTTGTTGCACGCGACTGACTGCTGCAGAGGAGACTGACTCTTCTGCTGTGAGAGTTCATTCGTAAGCTCTGCGGATATTGCACCTACTTTGCGAGTAGTGTTGGCTGTGAAAAGCAGCCAAAATAAGCACTTTTAATCCAGCGTTATCTTTCACTTGTGGTTTGGAAGCACGTTATTTGCCCCTTTTAAGCAAACCAAAACGAAACTGCGTGTTGACTACCAACTGGCGTTTTGCTCTCGTCTCGATTGGGTTAAAGAGCTGCCATCGTCCGCAAGCAGCGTTTGCAAAGCCTCTTTTGGGCGTGCAATGATTGGTTTTAAACACGTTCTCTCCAGCTACTGGTACATTGAGAACAGCACAAGATTATTATCTTGGACACCGACCTTGATAGTGAATTATAGTGAACCCATAAACGTGCCAATGCTGACAACGTTGCACGTGGTCTGGTCACGTGTCCAGTGCCTTGGGACGTCCTCCCGATGTGAAAGACACAAGTTGATGTTGTTTACAAACCACACGATGTAAACTTCTCCCCATGCGCAAGACATGGTTGAGGTTAAGAAGAAGGGGTCTGGCGAAAGGGCAGGGCACTTTGATCAAAAAAAAATCTGCCAACATCTAGTAAACTGGTGGAGCAGGCTGGATGGGCTGAAATGCCTACTTCTAACCCTGTTTTCCTACGTTCCTGTAAAGAGCAAATCGAGCTTTCTGCGACCGGCTATTGACCACCACTCATCACGAGTTCAAATACATCAGCAGGTAATTGATTGTAGAGAAGTCTATTAAAATAAAAGGATATGTACTTGAGGGAGAAGGGAATAGAGGGGGATGGGGAGAGGGGATTAGGAGGGATAGAGACTCGTGTGGAGTATAAACACCGACATGGACTAGTTGAGTTGAATGGCCTGTTTCCATGTTGCCTGTGTAATTCTGTGTTAATGGAGAGTTCAGCTGATTTACCAAATAAATACCAGATTTACAGGGCATAACAAAAGTGAGTGCTGGGGCAGCCTACTAAATCTATGGGTCTCAATTTATTCTTAGTAATAAATCGTTTCACTTCTCTATTTTACAGCATAATCAGTTGGCATGAATTTCTGTCACTTATAATGTGAAGCTGCTGCTTTTATTTAATAGCTGCCTCGTGTGAAGCAGCGATGAAGTGGTCCCGACCTCTTTTCTCGTGGGATTTATTCCCCGAAAGGCAAACGGCGAGGAGGTGTTGCCTGCTCCCCCGATTGACAAGTACATTTGCTCTTTATTCTGTGTTTAGACCTCTTGCGCTCACTCACTTGCACATCCATTAGTCTCCTGCATTAGGAAAAGCCATAGGATCAAGCGTAACTGTTGAAATTCCTATGGCTGGTTGAATGGTGCTTTGGAAACTCCATTAAGGAGTTCAGTGTAAGGCTGTTGGCAAGTTGTATACAAACGCTTTTGGAATACTGAACTGAGACTGTGGTGTTTGTCTTAGATTCACAAGATCACAAGGTTACAATGGATAAAGAAAGCTCTTCAGCCAATCTGAACCAATGTCAGGTTCTGCCACTGTCCAGTGCTCCGGGACTCTACCCCACTTGAGGGGGCGATATAAATGCAAGTTGTTGTTGTTATCCTTCCAGAATGTCCACCTCCCATCACAGCACCAAGCTGCTTCTTAAATAAGTCCAGTATCCTGGCTGCAACCACCCTTTGTGGGTGGTGTGGAGATGGGGGTAGAATGTTTGATCGATAGGATCAGAAAGAGACTGTTCCCACCCACTGATTAGTAGTTTGTAAGTAGCATTAAAGCTAAGAGCTGCTCTGTTTAATGTT